GGCGGTGGGCCTCGGCGGCGATTAGACGGTCCAATCTGCATTCGTAATGACGAACGTGGAAGGTGACACAGCGTCTGACCTCGGCGCAGGGACACCGGCCATCTATTAACCCCCGACCTTAACCCTTCCCTCCTGTCTTCCAAACGCTGAACGTGTATTCGTTACGAGGATCTATCCGCTCCTCTCTCGCCCTCCCTTCTTGCGCGTTCCTCCATCGTAATTGCCAAGCATTTTCCGACGAATGGGGGACGGATACAAATTTCACGGATCACGGAGAGGAAGAGGAGACGATGCGTTATAATGCTTCGCGCCTCCAAAATGGCGACTGTACAATATTTATTTATGCTTGATTTTTTTCAATTATACGTGAATAGATTTCTGAGCTGTGTAATCTTGTGAAGCGTGGAACGATTGGATTTATTTTTTTATTTGAAATTGGACCGAATCCGATTATTCGAAATTATTTATATTTATATTGTTCGTTAGAATTTGACGATAGAGGGAAGAGAAATTTTTACTCAGAGTTTAGTTCGTTTATTAAGAAATTGACGATGGAGGGAAGGAAATGTGCTAATCCATCGAGATACGTATATATCGAGTTGGAGATCGGTAGAATCGAGAAAAATAGGAATAATAGAATATGAGAATACGGGACATTAGTTCAAGATGAGTTATTAAACAACGAAATTATTTCTATTCGTTAAGAAACTGAGGATAGAGAGAAGGAAAGTAGCGATGAAAATTGAGAGTTTAGCTCATTTTTACTTATTGAAAAATTGCCGATAGAGAGAAGGAAAATAGTAGATGTAGATATAAGAAGATGAAAAATAGTAGTTATTATTAAAATATCGCACAACAATATTAACTTTCAATATTCGACAAATTGTCTTTCCTCATCGCGTGAACATACGCATATAAAATATCAAAATACAAATGTTTTACACGTCAATACGTGAATTCGTTTTAACTTAGCTAAGAAATTCACTGAACCACGAGTGCAAAGGGTTAAAAAGTACATACATCATACTTGCAACGATAAACTTTTTACAATAAATTTTAAAATGGCATTCTCCATATTTCCTTCGTGATAATTCTTCCACCAGAGGAGTGGATTCCAGGTTTTCTTCATCGGTCGACTATTCTACATCTCCAACCAGTATCGACGTATACACGTCTGAAGCTGTCGATTAGAATTAATTAATAATCGTAAACAGGGTAAATGCCGTTAATATATCTGCAATTTATCACGAGGCGGAAGAAACCTGGGTTGGGAGGAGAAGTTTGGCGGTGGGCCTCGGCGGCGATTAGACGGTCCAATCTGCATTCGTAATGACGAACGTGGAAGGTGACACAGCGTCTGACCTCGGCGCAGGGACACCGGCCATCTATTAACCCCCGACCTTAACCCTTCCCTCCTGTCTTCCAAACGCTGAACGTGTATTCGTTACGAGGATCTATCCGCTCCTCTCTCGCCCTCCCTTCTTGCGCGTTCCTCCATCGTAATTGCCAAGCATTTTCCGACGAATGGGGGACGGATACAAATTTCACGGATCACGGAGAGGAAGAGGAGACGATGCGTTATAATGCTTCGCGCCTCCAAAATGGCGACTGTACAATATTTATTTATGCTTGATTTTTTTCAATTATACGTGAATAGATTTCTGAGCTGTGTAATCTTGTGAAGCGTGGAACGATTGGATTTATTTTTTTATTTGAAATTGGACCGAATCCGATTATTCGAAATTATTTATATTTATATTGTTCGTTAGAATTTGACGATAGAGGGAAGAGAAATTTTTACTCAGAGTTTAGTTCGTTTATTAAGAAATTGACGATGGAGGGAAGGAAATGTGCTAATCCATCGAGATACGTATATATCGAGTTGGAGATCGGTAGAATCGAGAAAAATAGGAATAATAGAATATGAGAATACGGGACATTAATTCAAGATGAGTTATTAAATAACGAAATTATTTCTATTCGTTAAGAAACTGAGGATAGAGAGAAGGAAAGTAGCGATGAAAATTGAGAGTTTAGCTCATTTTTACTTATTGAAAAATTGCCGATAGAGAGAAGGAAAATAGAGATGTAGATATAAGAAGATGAAAAATAGTAGTTATTATTAAAATATCGCACAACAATATTAACTTTCAATATTCGACAAATTGTCTTTCCTCATCGCGTGAACATACGCATATAAAATATCAAAATACAAATGTTTTACACGTCAATACGTGAATTCGTTTTAACTTAGCTAAGAAATTCACTGAACCACGAGTGCAAAGGGTTAAAAAGTACATACATCATACTTGCATAATCGTCGATGTATCAATAATTAATACAAATAAAAGTTTCGAAACTTTCCACGAATTGGCGAAAACATTGGGCAAAGCAAATTAATTATTATTCCTTGGCGAGTTTGAATCCGAGTGTTTCGGTATTCACCACGAATATTCGAAGCGAGAGTTTCATTAAACGGTCGAATCGAATCACGTTATTCGACCGCGATTGTTGATAAGAAAAATAATATAATTCAACGTGATTTGTCGAGCCTATGCAAATTGATTTTTGTTACGATTCAATCGCAGCGATCGATATCCCGTCCAATTAATCGCCCATCCGCGATCCATTTCGATTTCCGTGCTCGCGTCGATGGCAATTATCGGTCGCAATTACGTGTGACCAATCGTGGATCTTGATTAAACAACGTTAATAATTAATATTAAATATCGCACGCTTGCTATACGCGAATCGGAGAAATATTTACAAAATGGAAGAAGAAGATGTTAAGAGCGGATAAAATCAATGTCGAGCAATTTGTTTTTCGTCAAAGTTGATCCGTTTGGCACTGTGCTTAACTAAAACCTATCCGTATGTACAATCCTTGCGTTTTATAGAAATATACAGGCTCCTCGTGCGGAGCCAACACGGTGTATAAATCATTACTTTTTTTAACTCCACATTTTTCTTCAATTTTTGGCAAAATTTCTACTCGAATTATCTTTCCAACATTCGACTTCCTCGAACGAATTTTTGATTTTGCAAAGGGACCGAGCAATTTCCTCGTTTAAGGAAAGGTGGAAGGAGCGGAATTGAGCAGCCCTCATCAGGAGCACGGTATTGGCACGGATAGCAGAGAGTTGCTCGTCAAATATTTACCGTGAGCGATGCTGGCGCGATCCTCTCGATACGTTACATCTCGAGAACAAGGGATATAATTTCGACTCAACTTTTCTTCCTCGTGCGGAGAATATAATCGAACGACAATTGGCCTGGCGTTTAACGCCCCAAATCAAAATTTCACGCCGAATGATGCTCGAACGAATGATGGAGATTAATTATCGTGCAGTAGGCCAAGTTATCGAACGAATGGAAGACTTTCGAAAGCGACGGAGGGGGGAAAAAGTGTTTGATAGTTCGAACATAGTCCGTGACATTAAACATTCGGTGTTCACAGGCAAAGGTCTTTGAAGTGTACAAAGGTCGCGCCACCTTGCACGAGCGTGGTATGGCGCGCTGATTGGAGAGATCAAAGCCTGGAACGGCCAGCTCCATGGTATTTAATCATCCAACCGCCGAACGACGCATCTGCTGTCGATCGAAACCTCTGTCGAAAACCTCCGTTTTTCCTTCCTTCCTTCCTTCCTTCCTTCCTCCTCTATTCTTATTTTTTCTTCTCGTTTTCTTCGATTTTATATATACACTTTGCTCGCGCATCGAAAATCGATGATAAATCACCATTTACGCGATTTTTTCGCTGCGCAACTTGATTAATCACGTATGATATAATACACGTGAAATATAATGATACGCGTTATCGTTTTCCATGATTTATTTATTATTAATTATGATTCATTATTATTCGTGTTTTGATATCCACGTTGACGCTAATAAATCGATAATTCCACAGTGCGTATATTATTTACACGAAACGAGGGGAGAGAAATTTATAGAAAATAGCTTTAAAGAAGAATTCCATCGTGTATATCCCTCCGCTATTATATTCGTTTCTATATACAAAGAAATGATATCGATGTTTGCGTCTAGGGATTTAATTTACAACGATTGTGCGTTAGAAAAAAAATTTTTTTCTCTTTTTGCAAAAATGCAAGAAAAGTGAGTAATCCAAATCGCTTCTGTTATCACGCTTCGCTTTTCACGTTTTCAACTGGCGAGCGCCGCATCAACGGTTCAGCTTTCATTTACGCGTACTATTAACTTAAAATTCATGACAAAGCCCGGGACAGATATGGTTGCCATTTCATTGAACTTCAGCACCGGCCTCAACGATGCTTAAGCTCGACGGTCATTGGCATACGAGCGACAATGAATTTTACGCACGGTAAAATCGCTCGTCTGCATAGCCAGATTCGGGTACTTGATTCGGGGTGAAAATGGATTTGATTGTCGAGGCACACTTTTTTTCCTTTTCATCCTTGCCCTTCATCTTTTTCGCTCCTTTTTTCCCCGCGAAATAAAAAATAAATTTTCCAGTGCAAATTGATTTCTCCGTGTTTTTTCACGACTCGAATGCTATTTTCTGTTAGCGAACAAATAAATGATGACTCGTTTCGTTCTGTTTTATTTATGGATTTCTATTTGGACGAAACAAATTCTCGAAGCTAATGAATGGGAATAACACTTGCAAAAAAGGGAGAGAGAAAATATATATTGCTACAATTGAACAATAAATATAATAAAAAGTGTTCGCTTACCTTTTATATAATCCTATTATTTATCCGAAAAATATAACATATTATTAAGTTGAAAAAGATATAGAAAATAATGGATAAAAATAAAATTTCAGACTGACCAGCATACAAAGATCACCGATAATGGAGATAATAGTTAGAAAATGATGCATATGTATTTGCCTTAAAGCCGAGTAGCTTGCCTTTGAGAATAGAGGTTATGTAATACTTCGTTTGTCGAAAAGAGAGGAAAATACACGGAATAATGGGTAATAAAGGGAAATGGCTTTTTCAAAGCGATTGCAAAGTTGCGAGAAAAGTAATCGAAGAATCGAGAGTACGGAATTCTTTTATAAGCCGGATCTTATATGTCCGGATCAATTACGATTAATAAAATAAAAATAGTCGCGCAAAGCCAGGATCGAGAATTATATTTCCACCGATTAATTATGTTGCGGCGACACCGTGAACCCTGTCTGTCCATCGATCTTCGTGCACGTTCGGTGGTGGTCGGTAGCGATCGGCCTGATTCGCGCGCAACTTCGCAAGCGCGGAAAGGGCGGTGGGGCTCGCGAAGTTTCGGCCGTGGCGCTTTCGTTCATTCGTCGTTCTGCGCTCTGTGCGCTCGTTTATCGCGTGATCGCGGTTCGGTTTTAACGTGTGTCGCGTGTTACGTTTATTCGATCGATCGTCATTGTAAATAATAATATCCGTGAAATCGATTCTTGACCGTTTCAAGTATCGATACTGTGTAGGAAGAAGAATGTGCATCGTTCCCCCGGTGAGAAAACAATTCGAACGTGAAGAGTGTTCCGAACGTTATTGAAGTTTGAGATTACAACATGGCAGTTCAATATCGATAAAGAAATTGTAAGATCGATACGATTAAGTTGAACCAGTGATTTTTTAATAGAGTTTAACGTATTATATCAATCGAACGAATGATATAATGGTTAAATGATAAAGGGAAAAGTGTATTCGAAGAACGAAAAGTATTATCGTAGTGTATTTTGCTACGTTTTTAAACGCGAAGAAAAATCTATTGGCTGTTGTCGAGATCAGGTTAGTCATGTAAAATTACGTATCATTTTACGAATATCATGTGTCGAGTGTGATATATACGAATTATTGAAATTAGAATCGATGCGTAAAGTATTTTGTGCTTTGTTGTAAGTGAATTTACGAAAAAAAAAAAAAAAAAAGAAAAAATCAAAGTTATTATGTATAAAATATTAACTAACAAAAGCAGTTTTTAGTGATGCAACCTATATAATACTATATAAACGTATAAAACCTACTCGATCACCATAATGTCTAAAATGTCGTGCTTAATTTTTATTAATTTTTCCTCCGTTTCGAATGCGCATTACCATTCTATTCTCTTTATGATGAGATTTAACGATATAACCTCGATATTTAAATTAAAATGTATATAATCTTTCGTGATTTAGTTCGGAATGGCCAATTTTACGCGAACCTCTTTCACAATTTATTATTATTTCCTAAATTCATTTCTTTTATATCTCCCGTTCTTTCGATCTCTTTTCTTATTTCCGAGTCGAAATATAAATGTTTCGTCACAAGTACTTTAGAATAAAAATTCTCAAGCAAGAAAATTCTTTGTTCGCGAGGTATTCTGTATAAACAATGATAATGTAATACGAATGAATATTCATGACAATACGCGACGGTTGAAATGTTTTTTAGACTTCCGTCGACCATCATTTCTTTTTCACTTCTTCGCGAAAGAACTTGCTACGAAACTAATGCTTATATCTGCTTTTTTTTGTAAAACGTATACGAATAGAAGACCGATCTTCGCGTTAACAAATGAACGAATTCCGCGATTATGGAACGAAACAAAAAATTACTCAATTTTTGAAATTTCGAATCTAGCTAATCGGGATTATCGCTCGTTCCTGAAATTTCGGGCACGTTAAAAAGATTAATTTTTAAATACCATTCGAATTACAGCTAGCCGATTCGATAAATACGCAATACTGAATCGAAAGTGCAATTAGGAATTGAACGTGGAGTGTTAAAAAATTAATCAACAGGATTGCGCTAGTTGAACGAACGTTTAACGCATTCGCATACGTAAAATTTAAATATATATTATAGTATAATTTGCTAACCTATCCAGTAGATATTCAACGCGATTCGTTCAACTTTAACCAACTGCGGGGATCGCAATTAATGGAGCCACGTAACTGGTGTGCTTCCAAGCGTTAGAACACTTTGAAATGTCGCAAGAAATGAGCTCGAGAATGCGTGTAAATCAACGTGTTCGCGTTAAATATGGAGCTTTTCGCCGCATTTACATTCGGGACGCGCAAGAATAAAAGAAATTCATTTAAACGCCCGCATTAAGTGGCTTCGTTTATATTTCGAATCCAAGTTTTTTTCCTCGTTTTTGCTATTGATCTGTTTTTTCGTACACGTAGTATCACGTAGAGTAGAGAAATATTTTTCACGCGACGGTTGCAATTGAGATAAAACGCGTCACGCGTTTTTATTTATTATTTTCACGATTTCTTTTGGAATTCTTCTCGGAAAGTTTCGAACGGTATTATTGGAATGTTTTTCGTATGGTTTTATGGTAAGCCATCGCGCTTGTTCTTTCATATATAACGAAAATCTATCCGTTCTATTGGATTTCTGAATAGAGTAACGCGCATAACACGATTTAATCAGTGTAATGTAACAGTGTAATGTTGTGTAACAAAGTGTGTAAGAGCATCGATTTTCATCTTCGATGAATTCATACGGTGACTGGGTTATAATAAAACGTGTTTGTGTTTAAAAGAAGCAAGAAAGCTCCCTTCTCACGAATTAGTGAATCGTTTACCGCATTTCGACGGATTGCTTCGCGATCGGTAAGTTATTGGCAAATTATCTCTTCTTTTTTTTTGTCGCATAAACAATACAATTGCCATATATAAGTTTATAAATTTAATCGAATAAATTTTATCAGAGAATCATTTAATATCTCGTAATTAACGGGAAGATTAACTAAGATGAAAGATTGCAATTAATTAAGATTAGTTAGATGGAACAATCGTTTTATAATATAACACTTTTAACTGCTAGAAACTTTCTTCGACTCTCTTTATCATATACATAAGGTTAAGTACTTAATCCTAAACATCGAATCTGTATATATATATATATATTTTCTTAAATATTTCACTCTTTTACGTCTCTTTTAACAACATCGTGATTACGTTAAGAAGATTTACCGCGATATTTTCATGATATTTTTAACGAGTGAACAAAGAAGTCATCTTTTTTTACAAGTGAACGCATAACACGATGTAAGCTCACAGGTAACAACAATTTCCCCTTTGTGCATCAATCTTGATGCTCAGAGTTGGCAACTTTTACTTTCACCGCTAATTGGATTCCCCTCGGGGAGGGGAGGGGAGGGACAAATATTAAAAAGTTAATACAACGTCATAGGGGGCGCAACACCGATCTCTCTGCGATGTCTACGCGTGTTTCGATCGATCGCGGATTCAAAAAGAAGTCAGCTTGATCGACGTAAAATGTATAAAAATGCAAAACTTTTTCGGCGCGCTTTCCGTCGAAACGAGATTTTTCGAAAAGAAAAAAAGAGGAAGAGGAATAATAAAAAAAAAAATTTATCGAGTTTTGACCAAATACATTTGCAAGCTGCGTTTTTGACGTATCTCCAAGACGATTTTCATTGAGATCGGATGCGTGAAATATTCATGTGGGGGAGGAATAAAATCTATATTCTCGCTCGAAATGTTTCGATTCGCGGATTTTTTTTCCTTTCTTCGCGTTTCTTTTTTCTTTTTTTTTTGCAAATTCGAAAGAAAGAGAGGAGGAAAAAAAAAGAAAGAAATTAAGCACGCTATTCTTTATCTAGCACGATTTTTCAGTCAGTGTCGGTGCCCCTTTAACGGAAAGAGTTCTTTAAAACCGGGTTAACGTGATCTTAATTAGTTGCGTTTCGTAACTGCATGCTGTAAATGCGTGGATTCCGAATAAAAAGAAAAAAGAAATACACGTAAACACACGTGGCACAAGGAGATAATTATGCACGGACCTAAATTTTCTAAAATCGCGGTTTTAAATTTTTTTTCGTACCAAAAAAAAAAAAAAGAGAGAGAACGATCATCAACGAAACTCCAATTTCGACAAGTCATTTTTATTTATGTATATAAAAAAAAAAAATGTCACGTCGAAATGTTAATCCTTTATTTTTCATAGGATCAAATTAAATTTATAAAAATGAAGAAGAAAAATTTCCCATATCTCTTAGATTGTTAAATATATTGGTAAGAGCTGCTATTTGAATTTGTTTATAACATATCAATATAACATTAATTATAATATTAATTGATTCGATATTATTCGAATCTTCGTACTTTTTTTGTTATTAATTTTTTACACAACATCAACGAAACTCCAATTGCGAAAAGTCATTTTTATTTAAAAAAAAAAAAATGTCACGTCGAAATGTTAATCCTTTATTTTTCATAGGATCAAATTAAATTTATAAAAATGAAGAAGAAAAATTTTCCATATCTCTTAGATTGTTAAATATATATTAGAGCTGCTGTTTGAATCTATGTATAACATTAAATATCGATACAACATTAATTATAGTATTCTGATCTCGTGATATTATTCGAGAAAGAACATTTCAAAGTCCTTATACTTTAATTTTTCACACAACATCCGTTTCGATCTCGATCCTTGTCTCGAAATACACATTTCTTCATTTTCCACACGAAATAAATAATATTCCAAAAAAAAACATTTCAAGATCCGTTTCGACCTCGATCCTTGTCTCGAAATATACATTTCTTCGTTTTCTACACGAAATAAATAATATTCGTGAAAGAACATTTCAAGATCCGTTTCGATCTCGATCCTTGTCTCGAAATATACATTTCTTCATTTTCTCCACGAAATAAATAATATTCCAAAAAAAACATTTCAAGGTCTTCATAATTTTTCACATCCGTTTCGATCCTTGTCTCGAAATACACAGATATACATTTCTTCATTTTCTACACGAAATATAAATAACATTAAACGCGATTAAAATCTAAAGATTCGAAATATATATACATATATATATATAGAGCGAATAATGGGATCGAGATAAATGACAGAGGAGAAATATATATACATATATATATATAGAGCGAATAATGGGATCGAGATAAATGACAGAGGAGGGGGGTGTTAAAAGTGGCGCGAATACGAACGGGGGACGGATAAGGGTTGGAAGTTGGGAGCGTGATTCAGGCAAGGTGTAGGAAGTGAAGCGTGGAGAAGCTTGGGTGCCATGGAACGTGCCAAGACTATTTCGAAAGAGTTACTGGCAATGCTAATATCGGTAATACCGACCGTGCAACCGTCGCGGTATTTCGACCCCAAAGCTGCTGCTGCACCACTGGAATACGTCCAACGGATACGTATACCTCACCTTAGCCCGTTCCCCTGCTTCCGGGAACCGGCCGATTGTTAAACAGAGCTGAATTCACGTAATATACGAGCGCGCGATAAGCAGTCACGTTCTCAGCTTTGTTCCATCATCGAGATTGCTGTCTCGTCCCTTTTATTCTTACATTTTTCGAAACCGGTTCCACTTTCTAAATAAAAAAAGTGTCGTTTGAATTGGTGGCGAACGAGACGAATCTCTTTTAATTGAGTTTAATGTCGATTGAGAAGAATGATATGGGTGTTTTGAAGCGCGGCGTTTTTTTTTNTTTTTTTTTTTTTGGTATATATAAGTTAAAAAGGAGAAAGAAAGTTGCGGAGAGTTTTATTTTCGAGTTTGGAAAAAAGTTCCTCGGCGAGATAAAACATTGGTCGTGAGATATAGGAAAGAAGGGGAGAGGAGACACAGTATTCATTTTCACGTTCCATTTCCTGATACTCGCTGCATAAGATGCTTTCAAGGGCTATTCAAAGTTTCCGAACATCGCATTTCCCCTCACACTTTCTCGGCGAAAATAATCGAATTCAATGGTCCCTTGTCGTTCACGCGGTATCCTTAGATCCTTACCTACCTAAACCCCACGGGTTTCCTCCTCCTTTCCCATAAAATTATGCGAAAAGACATTTCCACGCGTAATTATTTTCCTCGATTTATCGTGCGAACCTTTTTTTTTTTCGCGAACGAAAACAAAGTTGGAACCGGTTCCATTGAAACCGCAACGAGCCTTAAAGTTTCTGTTTGAAGACAAAGCTTGTTTTCGGGCAGCAAATCTTGACTATTCATGATCAAACTTAATGGTTTCCTTTATTTACATTATCTTAGAAAACTGTGCGCAACGAAAACAGGGTAGAAACTTGAAGCTCGAAGAAACTCGGGAGTGATGTTATTCCGTGTATTTCTGATTAAAATTCGTTTATTCGTCGAACGGAATAAAATAAGGAACTTATCGATTCAAAAACAGGCAACTTCCCTCTGTCGTCGAGAGGAAACGAATCGATCTCGATCTCGCATTAAAGTTTCGCGAATTGGTCAGGAAATTTTCAAGGAGGAGTTTGCTTAGACTCGCGTGGACCTTGCAAACACCTTGAATTCCGCCTTTTCCATTCCGTTTCCATTCCATAGAATAGAAATTGCTTTGCTTTGAATTAAAATAAAATTCAATGTGCTCGTCGAACGGACGAAATCGCCTCGATCGCGCCTCTCCCCATTTCCTATCGTAATCACGATCTCCCCCCTCCCCTCAACTTTTCACGTTCGCCCTATAAATCTCCATACAAGGGGGAACGTTAACAAAGATTAGTGGATCACTTTGTGATCTTCGTTCTGCTGCGTACGTAACAGCATTACTTCATTAAGCTTTTAATGAGAAATTGTGCATTGGACCTATGGTGTGGGTTATTGTGTATAAATGGGGGAGGAAGGGGAGGGAGGGGATCAATATTTGCGCGAAAAGATCGAAAATTCCCTGTAAATTCTTTCGAAGGGAGAATCGATGTCGAAATAGAATTAAAAATCCGTTGGGTTTTTCAACGCGTCGAAATATTGAATATCGTTTAAATAGATGGATGATAATAAAGTCGATCGATACCCGTTATTTGCTGATACGCATCCAAAGGGGAATCGAATCGAATTATTCTTCGCGTTGAATTATCTTTAATTATGTAAAGCGCGGATTATAAATTGAAATTTTTGCCAATTTCCTTTTAGAACGACGTTGTTCTTTTCCTCTTTTTCCAATATGGAGGAGTTGTTCTCGTTCGTTCGTCGAAGATGTAAGCATTGAATATGAAAATTCCTGCAATTCGATCAAAAAAACTTACGACTTTGATCCGTCGATATTTCTTAACGAACGATTCGAGTCTACGCGAGAAGTTTGTTTCTTCCGTTTCGATGTCTCTCGTTCCACGATAATCAATTTTAATTCTAACTCGTGTTACGAAGTTATTGTTATCGAAAGAGCGAAAAATATCGGTGGAAAATATTTTTCATACGGAAAATATTGGTGGATGCGTTGAAGGATGGGGAGCGGGGTTGACACGGGAGAAAGGATTTTAATATAAAGTGCCAAGCGTTCCTCCAAAGCTTCGAGCTTCGAGTTTTGACAGGCGAAAGCGCCCTCACCTCGGTCGGTTCAAGTATCATCTTTTTCCGGTATCGCGTGTCTTTCGATCTTTCTCGTATTCTCAGTTCGAATTTCATCAATTAACTGAATTTTTTTAACAATATTTCTATAATAA